CGCCGTACCTTTTTTCCGTCTACGTTTCATTTTCCTTTATGTTGATAGCCGACAGATGGACACGCGCTGGTTGTCGAAAGAATTGTAAGCTCGAATTTCTCAAGTCAAGCCGCAAGCAGGATTTACCTACGTGAAATCCTTTCTCGGACAAGGGATGAATTATTGTATATATATCTCGTGCTACTCACCCCTTTCTTTCTTCGCCTTTCCCCCCAGATGGTCCCGAACTCTTTTAGGTCATACGGCGCTTCGGCGCAACTCGCAACTCGCGGTCTTCTCGTGAAAATTTATTTCTTTATACTGGCGCATCTTGTAGCTCTTCTTTCGGAAGTTAATATCCTCTTTAATCTTTTCACGTCCGGAAAACTTCGCCGGCGAAGGCTCGCTCGCCCCTCGCAACTTTGCGCGGCGCGAACTTCAACGTTGCGCGAACTTCCGCTGTGTGTCTCGCGCACCGCGCCGCCCATGTACTGCAGAAGTTAAAAATTTGCCCGACAACAAGAGAGGTTACTTTCAATTTGCTCCTTTTGCTGCTCTCCCGCGCTTGTTGTCCGTGCGAATCGATCTGCCTGTGTGGCAGCCAGCGGTACAATCTCGCGTGGCTTTGACGCCGACAACCCTTGGGTATGTCTCACCGACACGACGAATATATGAATAATTTCCCCGTCGTCGTCGTTGTCGTCGTCGGCGGCGGCGTGGTTCGCGCGCCGACGAAAATCGATATTCCATAAATGTGTAAATGTGTAACCGAATCCCGGCGATTCTCTTTGCCTAAGCAAAGTGGCCTTGTCGGCGACGGGGTGCATGTGCCCCGAGATGCATTAGGCAGCGTTGTCGTCGCGCGCGCTGCCTCGCCTCCTCGACATCTTCGACAATCCTCGATCGACAATAGAGCTGACAGCGCAGCGACACGCGTAGATTTTTGCTTTTTAAATTTGCTGCCTTGCGAATTTTTTTTTTTTGCTGAGAATCTCAATAACGCGAAATTCAGTCATGAACTTTTCACTATTGTAGCGGAAGAATTTTTCTTCCGGCTTTCCGATTCTCGCCGTACTCTGCGTTTTTTTTCCGCAGATGACGTTTTTTTCTTTTTTTTTTTTTTTAATGTTTTGGAAGATTTTATTTTCGTTTCACTCCACAATCGTAGGAATACTGAATTTTACAACAAACTTGGAAATTTCGAAACTTTTTTGCGCGCGAAAGGGCAATTCGCGTTGATTTGAAAAAAAAAGAACAGGAGAGAGAAAGGAATGAAATGTGTTGCCGCGATATATTAAAAAAGAAAGATTCTCCCGCGTTTGTATGTATCGGACTAACTCGCGAGGGATAGATTTATGGGCAATATCCTCTGCGACGGAAAATTCGGGCCGATAAAGGGAGAGCGCGCGAATGCGCACGCACGCAAATGTGTTTCGGGAATGCGTACGGAATATCACGATCGATATCACATCGCCGGAAATCAGAGTGTAATACGTCCACGAGTATTTCCGGGCGGATCGATGCATCTCTGGCCGCCACTCGTCACTTTGTCTTCCCGCGCCTGTTCCCCCTCTTCCCCTCTTTCCTCTCTTCGTGCGTGTATCACCATGCGCGCTCTCTCGATCTCCCGCGTTACACGCTGGCGCAAATTCAATTTTCCTCGATTTTGCATGAAAAAAAGGCCCGATGCTGCAGCCCCGGAACATGATAGCACCGCTGTATGTATAAAACAAAACGAAGAAACGGCGGGAGAAACCAAACGCTCTTTTTCATCGTTTCATGATAGAAGGAAGGACTGCGCCACGTTTTATTTTCAGGACGCCCTTCCTGCGTCTATTTTCTTCCTTTTCTTTTCTTTTTTCGCGAAAACAAAGTTTGCTATCTCGCAGCACGGAAATGTTTTATGATACCGAACTCAAGCTCCGGTTAAAAACAATAGACGGAACGGCATCGCGTACACAGGAAATATTACGTTAGGTAATTAAATTGATCTGTCAAAATGTCATTAATGCATTTTCTGGCTAGTTTCATAAAATGGCTATTTCGCAAGTGAGGCATAATAATATAGGCCCGCTAATTATTTATTATAATCCTATATCATGATGGAATAAATAATGTCGTTGTGTTTAAAATTCAACGAACTCGTTATTGTCAATCCTTCTGGCAGAGCTTGCTGGAACAAATTAAAGTAATTGCACGATCGCACCGTGTATTCATCGAGAAAAAGCTTTCGGCGATTGAGCTAATCGCGACGATTCATCTTCATTAAAGTGCTACTCCTTTCGAACCCGCACGAAAACGGGAGCGAGGGATAGGATATCATCGTATCGTGTCGAGGGCGATGGCAAGAAAGGGAAATTAGGACGCTGATTTCGCTCGTGACAAGGCGAACTTTTTTCCCCGTCGGATTTCGTACACTGTAGCGAGGTATAGGTCTGAATGGCAATTAATTACGAGGGGAACGCCGGAAGCCCGACTCACGATGCGCAGCGAAATATGAAATTCAATTTGGCCGTACACGCGGCCACTTCCCGTCCTCGACCCTGGAAAATTAAGGGTTGCCATTTCGCCGGTAAGAATTTCGGAAAGATAGCGCGTCGTTTAACGATAACGACCGTGTCGATTAATAATCCCCGATGTCTTTCTCTCCGGGGATGCCCGGAATCCATACTTAAGTTAATGGATCATGTAATGCAATCGGGAAGAGCGATGTGATGTCTTTCAGAGAGTCTCTCCGGTTACAATTTCAATAACATTTTTATTTAACGGATCGATATTTTATCCGATTTTCTCTCTCGATTCGAGAGACTTTTTTTTCAAAAACATAATTCTATTAAATTGCGTAGTTCACTTGAGATAGATATGGAGCGTGCGACTAGAATGTAAATTAATTTGTGGCATTGAATATAATAACTCGACTTAATGGAACAAACCAGTTTTTTCAGTTTTTAAATTTATTTTATCGGTTCGCAGATCAAAAGTACACCATCAAGTCTACTTTACATGTTCATTATAATCATATCATATACATCGTGCAAATCAATATATCTTACTTAATGGCGAAGTAACAACGTAAAATTACAAGTGCCGATACTTAATTTATTGCATGAAACAATCTTGCCTAGGGCTACACACTGTAGTAACGAAGAAAAAAATATTTTCTGTGGCGTTTTCTCGCATCAACGCGTCTCGTATTTTTCTTTCCCCGTCGTAAACTCCGTCGAGATTCATCAGATTTGCAGCACACGGATTACTCACCGCGAATGTCCCGGGACCTTGTACACGTGAAAATGATCAGGAAATCCCGTACAGCCGCGCACGGAATTGCGTTGGGAAAACGAGGACGGTGTGTCTTTCTCTCCTTGAATTTAATCGAATGAAAATTACCTCCACGCCCGTTTCCTCTCTTTGTGCAACCTTTTTCTTTTTTTTTCTCTCTTTTTCTTTGCCTACAGCAGGGTGCATTGGACAGATATTTTAATCTAACAGCATTGAAGTAACATTGATTGAAAAACCTACATTGCATTTTTTCCGAATGAGAGAAGCGCACGCGAAGTTACAACGTGACATCCGACACGATGTTTTTTTTTTTACATATGACTCGGATATCACGTGGAACGTAATATTTTAACAACCGACATTGAACATGCGTTTTAAAGCCTTACCACATATATCCCGCGACGACGTAATATGAAATTCGTCGTAACATCGCGACGCGAAGTTCAGTTATCGCGGGTAGCGATAATTATGCGAAGCGGAGAATTTCGTGCTCGCACGCGCCGTTGTCAACTTCCGCTTTTAATGAGCTCACCGCGCGTTTAATAAGCGCGCGGTATGCAAAAGGAGGGAATTTGCATTGCGAAGAAGGCATCTGAATACCTGCGAGCTTAACCGTTTAGCCGAATCAACAAAAACGACGTCGCTACTGGCCAGAAATATCTCCCTTCTATTGTTTTTTTAAGTTTGCATGGACAATCTTCCCTTGAATTCACATGTTATACAGCATGCCTGCACATTTCCCCAAGAACCTCCACTAATTCCAAAAATTCCTAAGCTGCACTAACTTAAATAACTTTTAAAAAGCCAAGGCCAAAAATTTTTGTCTACACGCGACAAATCGTTATTGTTTTTTTGACATATTCCGATCCGTTTTAATTAACTCGATTTTTATGAAAGAAAAAGCGGATTTGTTTAATTGCAAAATTTTTTGAAGTCATTTGTAATAATAATAATAATAATAATAATAATAATATAACTAGATTTGTTTGGATACATTTCGTGTAATAACATGAAACGTTTTGCAAAGTTTGCATTAAATTGCAGGAGCGTATACTATGATGAATTTGAAAACAATTTATATCTTTATAGCTTGTTACCAAAGCTGTAGATTAAACTTCGGTTATAATCTAGTTAAAGTGAGAGTTACACGTGGTGAATAATAATGATTTGTCCGCGTCCGCGGAAGTTTAATCTGCGAAAATTCCGTAATCCTTCTTGTTAGATAATTTCATAATTATACAGTTTATCATATGCGCGTCCATTAAAATTCATCAAAGAATACACTCCTGAATGCAAATCTTTGGTATCTTTCGAATCTTAGGCCCATTTTCACAATGTATGATTACCTAAAGGTTAAAAATTACCAAGAAGTTTATTGTTTAATAACGTTTGATTAGGACTTAACCATCAAGTTAACTTGGTGCCAACTCAACTGATGTAACACGTAACCTTTAGTTTATTTGACTATAAGCTTATGAAAGTGTGTTTTAGTAAACTTTTAAGTTTTAGTTAACCTAACTTTTTCGTTAACCATATATTACGAAACTGGGCCGTATATAAATGTAGAACTTAATGTTTTCATAAAATGTATATTTGTGATGAAACGATACCGCGATATTTTGATCATTTTTTTGGAATCCGCGAGATGAATGGTCTTGCCGGAAGCATGAAGCTCCAAGTTAGCAAAGAGCAAAAAGTCAGGTGACCTCTCTTCTAATTCCCTGAACGCTCGGTTGTTGCAGGCACACACCCCTCTTCTCGCGGCCGACACGAGACACGTAAGTAGAAAGTTGGTGGCAAAAAGTAGCCGTGACAAAGAGATTGTTAGCAAGTAGTCGCGACCGAGAGAAGAATCGCAATCGTCACGTGCGCTCACGTCCCCTTTAATTTACACGTTTCACTCGACTGATAAAGTGAATTAACTTCGCTAACTTTGACGTCATAAATCGGTGTGAAGGCGTTGCTTATCGTGATGTTTGCTTAAAATTAAAAAAAAAACTTTTTATAAAAATTTTATGTCGAGAATTTTAATATTGTTTGATTGATATTAACGTGGCCGCTTAAATTTTTCTCTCGGCGCGAAAGTAGAACGCATTTGCATATGATTAAATACGAACGGTAATATCTCATCGATCTCATTGAAGGCATTTATCCCATTAATTACACAGATGACACGATTAACAGTTCCCGCAATGCGTGTCCCGCATTTCTGCAAATTGATCAGTTGCCGTATACATTATCAATGTGTGCGCGATGCTGGCGTATTATTTCAAGGCAACTCAATATAAACTATATTGCGAGGTCTAGCTTTACTTTTAATAAGTTGTATAATTCTCGATTGCGATTAAAACAAAAATAGTCTATTTAAATTTAAGAAATATCTTATTGATGTTGAAAGTTTGTTTAAAGTTTCGCTAGAATGCTGAAATAAGCGCAGAACTATTTGGAAATAAACAGAATTCTTGAAAAGCGTGTTTCATTTCGATACACATAGATTCGTCTTCTTCAGATGATATAAATTGTTTAAGAAGTATTTAATTATTATTTATGGTTAGAACTCTCACTGCAATGCATGGCTGCGGAATAATACGGAAACTGCTTTATAACAAATGAAACTAGTATAACTTTTTCATTTTAATATACAATGTTTGCAACGCATTTTTATGTAATTATATTTAATATTTTTGCCTTTAATATCAGTACTTTTTCGTATAAAATTAAAATTTTTTTTAAAATACTAAGAAAATTCGCGCAAGATAAAGTGAATCACTGCATGAATCTATATATTATTTTAATTTTGAAACAGTTTCTATATGACCTAAATTATTTGCTTAATCTATTAAAAATTATAGAACTATTAAAGCTAGGCAGTCAAAACTTTCAGTTTCCTCAAAATAATGTTCTCGACTTATAAAGTTTACAATACCTGTATACGGAAAGAATGATTTTGCTAGGTCTAAAAATTTTTCAGAATCTAAAAATAATTCTTGTTAATTCTTTAAAATAATTTTGTTGGAAAGTCAAACTGATTGCTAGAATATCAAAATGTTTTACAGCAATGCTTATTATTTTTGAGTTTTTAACAAAATTATTTTTAGATCCAAATTTTTTGATCTTCCAGCAAAATCATTCTTTCCGTATAATAATAGGTACTCGATAAATATTACAAAAATGCCGTATAATAGCCTGTTCATGTTGATTTATTATGATAAAAATTGTTCATTGCGCGACAGAGACATTACCGGCGATCGGAAGAGAATGAAAATTCGGAAATTGGCAACGACAGCTGACCAAATTGAGACAGGATATTACAAGTGTTTTATAAGACAGCACGACGGTTAGGTTATATCTCGGCGCGCACGTCGAAGTTTATCATGACGTAATTGCTGTTTCATATCGTTGCTGCGCGATGTCTCCTCGTAAATTACACGCGCAAGAAGACGTAACGGATAATTATTTGCCCCTGAGTCATTAGCGCTAACGATCCCCCTTACCGTTTCCCGGTATAGCGCAGGAATCTAATCTACGAGCAACGATTGCGTCGTTCCTTAATCATCATTTGATCGGTTAACTTCGGTGATTATTATACCGCGGGCCTTCAAGACGCAAGAGGCGTCAGATCCGGAAGTGTCCGGCCCGCGCGAACTTTCTCGTGCTTCCGAGAGAGAATCGATTTGTAGCGCGTGCAGGAAATCGTGTCATCTCGGTTTCCTTCTACTCGCTCGCTTCCTCGCTTCCGTTTCATCGAGCGGTCTTATCCAATTTACCATGAAACTAATCCAGTTGCTTCTCGAGAGTTTGCTAGCACTTCAATGATTCTAAGCGATTAGATAACATACAATTAGATCTTGTCTTTATAATACCTGTTATCTTTAATTGTCTTCATAAAATCTGTAATTTTGATCTTTAATGTGGAAAGAAAAATACAAATGTGATAATGCGTGTACTATTTTTTTTTGTATTGTTTTAAAGAACCTCAAATGTGATTTTCTTAAACATAAGTGTCGGTTCACAATAAGGATTTTAAGCCCTAAGCAGTAAGAAATAGACCAATCGTAGTCGAACATGAGGAAAATAATTAATTGTAATAGGTCAATATCTTACGGTGTAAGGCTTAAAAGCCTTATTGTGGACCGACACTAATGTTGACTGAGAAAATATGCAAGAGAAGATATGAACAACTTTATGTAATTAAAAAAAATAGATATAAAGTTTTTACGTTTAAAATCCTAATATTTAAAAAGAAAAGTAAATTTTATTTATCGTTATTCTCATAATATCCAGATTGGATAGAGAAGATTTAAAAATTTTTAAAGGAATTAATTAATTTATTTTCCTATCGGCAATAATAATTACTTTTATAATATATAATTTTTATCCTCGATCTTGCGAGCGATACAATAAAATACAGTGTAAATACAGTAAAATCGAACGTTACACACAATTTTATACACATTATAATAATAGTGATGTTAATTTTACAAGGTATTTTGCACACCGCTTTCATTATAAACGCTAAATTTCGATAGTCGGGAAGTTTAAAATAATTATCACACAGTATGAAAGTTAATTCCACATAAACACACAGCAATACGCGTTGCTTTTACACACACACACACACACACACACACACGCACACGCATGCACGCACACACACACGCACACACACACACACACATACACATCTTTCTCTTCGGATGTACATGCAAACGTAGCGCGGTATAAAATATTTGCTAACTGCCGTGGAAATCCGCACATCCGGCTAATTAATTATCACGCATTTCATTGTTTTCATCTCTTTTATTGGATCGAAATCCGTGTTTTCGTTGATATTTTGATCGATTCGTTATTCGATTAAGGCTGATGTTAAATCATTAAATAAATTTCATGTATGGATTTTGGCTAATATAACTACACTGAGAAAAAAAATCGATTGTACGAACTAACTTTGTATAGTTGTTTCAGCCAATGGTTGATTTAACAATTCCGTAGTTGCACAAAGAAAGGTATAGTTCATTTAGGTCAACCATCAAAATTTTTTAATAAAGAATTAATTAAACCAACTCAATTAAATTATTTTGTTTAAAATACTAGTAGTTATTTGTGTTTGCATGCTATTTAGTTATCCAAGTAATATATTTGTTCAAATTCCAAGTACACGGAAAGAACGATTTTGTTGAAAGGTCTAAAAATTTTACTAAAAACAGATCTGGAAATAATTTTTTGTTGAATTATCAAAATAATTTATTGGAATGTTAAAACTGATAAGCATTGCTATAAAACATTTTGATATTTTATAGCAATAATTTTGACTTTTGCACAAAATTATTTTGATTATTGAACGAAAATTATTTTCAGATCTGGATTTAGCAAAATTGTTCTTTCCGTGTACCAAACTGACTAAACGATACTGATGTGAGAATAATAAATTATAGTGTGTATTTTTAATCAAATGGTTGAGTTAAATACGATAAATTTTTGTTGAAACAAAATAGTTTAGTTA